TAACTGAAAAGCAGTGACTGGATGCAAAAGATGATGCTTCAGCGTTCGTGACTGCATTTAGCAGCGGCAGCTTTAATGTGCACTGAAGTGCTAAATGTGATGATGTTTTGTAGTTTGTGGTGAGAACACATCATTATGTACAGTAGTAACAAGCGTATCGTACAGACTTACACATACATATATTAGGTTCTGCTATTAGAAGGTTACTTGAGTTACAACTCTGTAAAAAAGCCTGCATAAAGTACTAATATAAAAACTAATACAATTAAACCAAAAATACATATACATATAATAAAACCTTTCATTTTGTGTGACTTTACCTGTCAGTCTTGCTACATTTAATGCACAGTCATTACTGCAATGCTGTTCTCTTGCAGCTCACATTACCATCAGGTTTGACACGGCTTCAAATAACAAGTCTTTCATTGTAGAAAACCCTTCAGTCTGAAGGGCAGAACAAAGTGCTACATGCAGTAACCCAGTTCATAGTCTAAACTGGTTTTATGCTGGTCCGGTGCTGGCTTAGATGGTCACTCAGCACGGTCATGCTGGTTGACCAGCATACCAGCACCCAAAACACAACATACTATAATGACCTACTACTGCTTACTCCGATTTTTTGCTCAGATCCAATCTCTCTGACACGATGGTTCACACTCGTTTACGTCAGTGATTCAAATCTGCATTAATGTGAACGAAACGTTTACAGGCTTTAATGTCTGTTCGGTGCTGCTGCCATGGTAACGCTGAATGATGGCATACACACAATGGGGGAAAAAACACATTAATTCCGATCTGAGCATTCCCATTAAGGTCGCATGGCCACGAATCGGATACGTATCCGATCTAGGACCACATACGAAAGTGGCTCAGGTCAGATTTAAAAAGATCAGATTTGCGTGTCCACACAGCCCTGAAAACACCAGATCTGAGTCACATTAGGACAAAAAATCGGATTTGTGCCACTTCAACCTGGTAATGTGAACGTGGCCTTACACTGGTACTGGTACAAACCATTTTACATAGAATGTATTTGGTTCAGATTACCTTCATTGCAGGGACAGTTGCTTCGTAAAGGTGCACGGTTGGTGATGTTTAGGCAGTAGGCAGCACTGCAACGTGATAGCGCAGATTAGGTTTTGTAGCTGACCTGACATCTGTCTGCTTTAGATTGCATATTGAGCACAACTATCTGTCTGCTGACTTTAGGAAAAAACAAGCCCTTGATTAAGTGTTCAGGAATTTGACAAGGCTTGGTGGCAAAGCAAACTGCATATAGCAATTCTGTCAATCAGATTGAAGGTTTTTCTATAATGAAAGGCTTATTTGAAGCAGTGTTGAACCTGACAGGTTTCTGGTACTACTACTCGCCTTGCACGCCAGAAACTCGAGACTCGACTCAACTTGCAACCCAGAGACTCTAGACTAATCTTGGACTTGAACCCCATAGTCTTGGGATTCGACTCTGACTCGCACCCTAAGGACTTTAGACTCGACTTGGTGTCACAGCTCAGAGACTCGAGACTCAACTCAAACTTTCATCCCAGAGACTCTGGATAAACCCTGACTTAACTCCAGGTACTTAGGATTTGATTCTGATTCACACCTGAATGACTTTATTCTCTAGCTCAGAGACTCGAGACTCGACTCTGACTTGCACCACAGAGATTCAAGACTCAACTCAATTTGCAGCATAGACTTTCAAGACTTCACCCAGACACGCAGCTCAAAGACTTGAGACATGCCTCACACCCTCTGGACTCAAGACTGAATTTGGGCACCCCAGACTCGGACTCACACCTCAGCGACTCAAAACTAGATTCAGACTCACACTCCAGGTATCTGAGATTTGACTTGGACTTCAAATCTCATTGACTTGCGACTTGACTCGGGCTTGGACCCCAGAGACTCAGGATTCGACTTGGAATTGCACCCCAGAGACTTGAGACTCGTCTTGGACTCACAGCTCAGAGACTTGAGACTTGACTCTGTTTCACATCCCAGACACTCGAGACTTGTCTCGGACTCGCACCTTAGAGATTCAAGACTTGGCTTGGACTCGAGACTTGATTCCCAGAGGAAAACCCAGAGACTTGGGACTTGACGTGGCCTCACACCCCAGTGACTCAAGACTTGAATCTGACTCGCACCTTAGAGCCTTGAGACTTGACTTGGACTCACACCTCAGAGACTCGGGACTCAGCTCTGACTCGCACCCCAGAGACTTCAGACTCGACTCAGCCTTGCACCCTTAGTAATCAACTCTGACTTGCACCTCAGAGATTGAGACTCAATGCGGACTTGCACCTCAGAGACCCAAGACTCGACTCACACTCTCACCCCAGTGACTCAAGACCGGACTTGGACTTATATGGACGCATATGTACACATACAGTGCATCAGTCGTGCACATACATAGAGTATCGGTGCCTGTTCATCCGTGTCTCAGCAGCCTCCAGGAGCGGATGAAGCTCCACTGCCTGCAGAGTAAAACTTCTGAAAATAGATGCTTCATCTTGTCTGCTCTAAAGCAGCGCTGGACTGGAAAACTGCAGCGTGCACAATCACTCTCCTCACGCGCTGCACTTCATCACAGCAGCACTAACATGATTAGCAGATAGTGTGATGGACGTGGGCGCTTTGGAGGGGGTGGAAAGCCTGCGTGGAGAAAAATGATTATGGATATAAGTAAGGGTACGGAGTAAAACATGAAAGATTACGCTCACACTTTTTTCCTTAATCGCAGTAGGAATCCCCCATAATTGATATTGCCGAGGATGCTGGGACGCAATGCAGTTCACCATCACAGAATGCAGGAGTTGATCGAATTAATTTGGCACAACTTCCAATAGCTGAGTCAGAGACAGAGAGAGATTAAGTGCATTAAAAATTCAGGAGAGAGTGGGTCGGGGAAAATAGAAGATCAAATCTTTTAACAGCAGATTTGAGTTATAACTAATAAATTTTTCGTTATTTGGTTTCATGTGGCCTGCATACCTTAACAAAAAGATCTACAGAAGTACCACAAGAAACTATGAGATTTCAATTGTGATGTATGATGCTTCTATAGTAACTGCCTTAGAGTAACCTATGATACTTGTATAGAACCCTAGTAGAAAGTATAGTAAAATGTAGTAATTATCCCAAAGATAATGCGAAAGATACCTGGGTGACGTACTGCTCAGGCCAAATATTCCCGTCTGCAGCCTGAGCTATCTTCGTGATACACTGTATCCCATGATGCATAATGCAATGCGGTCATTTCAGGAGGATGTAAGCATGGACGTAACCATCTGGTGGTCCTGTAGTACAGTACACAGTACATGAGAGTAATTGTGGGATACTGGATATGGACATACAGTGTGCAGTATGTAGTGGCAAAGTGTTCACTATACAGTATATACTGGTACAGTGTTCAGTGTACAGTACATAGTGGTACAGTATTCACTATACAGTATATACTGGTACAATATGCAGTATTTAGTACATAATGGTACAGTATTCACTATACAGTATATACTGGTACAATATGCAGTGTACAGTATACAGTGGTATAGTATTCATGACGCAGTATATACTGGTACAATGTTCAGTGTACAGTTCATAGTGGTACAGTATTCAATATACAGTATATACTGGTTCACTATGCAGTATACGGTATAAAGTGGTGCAGTATTCACTATACTGTACCTAGCCGGTGCATGAGCGCGAGACACGGTACAATATGCCGTATACAGTATGTAATGGTACAGTATTCACTTTATAGTATATACTGGTACAATATGCAGTGCACAGTATACAGTGGTACAGTATTCACGATACAATATATACTGGTACAATATGCAGTATACGGTATATAGTGGTATTGTATTCACTATACAGTATATACTGGCACAATATGCACTATACAGTAGATAATGGTACAGTATTCAGTATGGAGTATACACTGAGGCAGTATGCAGTATATGCTAATACAGTATGCAGTATGTATTTTTACAATATGTATTATACAGCATATAATGGTACAGTATTCAGTATGCAGTATACTGGTTCAGTATGCAGTATATGGTAGAGTCCTCAGCATATACTAGTACACTATTTAGTATACAGTATATACTGGTACAGTATGCAGTATACAGTATATACAGTATATACATTAAAATGACACGTCACATTATAACCTCCATAATTATGCCTTTGATAGTGTATTGTTTATCGTCCTCATTAGATGGCACTGATTTACTGATTGTTTTTCCAAGTGAAACAACTGGATGAAACAATAAATTATTCTGGCACAGTCATTTGAAATGGTTGGACAAGTGACATTGTGTTTCACATAGTGTGGTGACACAAACTGTGCATAATGAATGAATTCATTCTTCACAATAAAGGCCCCTGTCCGGGTTAGTGAGCTGCGGCAACTTCTCTTTCATGAAGTGATTAAGCTTTCACTGTTTTATTATATATTACATTATATTATATAATAGACTATACTTTTATTATATGTTAGACTAGTCTGTTTAAAATTCAAATTATCATCATTATTATTATTATTATTATTATTATTATTATTATGTAGAAAAATCCAAACTGCTAAATTACAAATTTACAGAGAGCTTAGCTACGTACTGTACTGAAATGTCACAGAGTAGTGAGTTAAATACATAAAAATACATAAAATTAATTGATTAATTTGTTGGAAACAGCAATGCATTTATCGAACAAACGGCAAATAAGCCACATTTAATTAGTCAGAAATTTGGTGAAAGTGTAAATGATGATCAGAAGAATAAATAATATGCTAACAGAGGGATTATGAGCCTTTAAAACACTGAGATAAATAAACGAAGCAATAATAATAATAAATCTCCGTTATAAAGCACGGACAGCGAATCAGAGCCGTCACTCTGAAAAGGCGCGTTAATGACGTGGGCCGGCTGGGCGCTGCTGATTGGTCGGCCCGTTTGCACGCTTTTATTTCTCTCTCCCGGGCGCGCTTCTCACGGTCAGTCGGTTTCCTAGCCGGTGCATGAGCGCGAGACTTGGAGACACGGAGCACGCGCTGCCCAGGGGGGCAGTAGAGGGGCTGTATGAGCAGACAGTGAAAGGGGTCCCGTGAACGGATACAAGCAGAGAGAGAGACAGAAACCATGAGGATCCATCTGGACGGTAAAGAGCTGCACTGCAGACTCGTCACTCCTCAGCTCTCATTCAGAGTTACTGATTAAACTGTTCTGATGTTATTAGAGGCTGTGATCGTGATTGAACTGATGCTGTATTGAAACCTGTTTCTTTGTCTGCTGATGGTTTAGATACAGTAATATGAGATATCATGTGATATGGGACAGTATATAGATGTTTAGGATTTTATAGAAAAGTATGTTAGGTCATATGGGGGAGTATATCAGGGGATAGGGGGCAATGTGTGGGGAATTAAATAGTGTTTTAAAGGGCCATATTCCCTCCTATTTTTTCCTTTGATGTCCATTTTTGACATTTGTGTGCCGTTATGAACCAAAATAAGGCATAATTCACTTTTACATGACCATTTTCATTTTTTCTTTATCCCTTATAACTAAACAGACTGCTACTGTGCCTTTAAAGGGGAATTCCACCAAATTTTCAAAATGCATAATTCAGTCCTTGAGATGTAAACAAAGTCATTCAAAGTATTTTGATCTGCAAAGGTTCAGATTTCTTCACAGTGGTGGTGATAGGAACCAGACGTCTACAACACAAAAATAACCATTTTATTCTGAAACAGTGACTCAGGCATCAGGTGGCATACTCATAAACATTTTATGTAATAACTTGCTGTGAGGGAGCTTTTAGAGGTGGCTGTCTGGTTCCTATCACCACCACTGTGAACATTCCTGACTCTGTAAGTTTCTCTAGAGCAGAGCATTTCACACCAAACCACTATGAATGACTTTGTTTACATCTTAACTGTTTAATCTTGCAGAAAATTTGGAAAAAGCAGTGGAGTTCCCCTTTAAGAATGATATATGTAAATGAGCTCTGTTCTGATTGGCTGCCCTGTATTGTGCCTCATTCAAAAAGCAGTCCAGGCTAAAAACACTGCATATAATGACGGTGTGAATGGAGCAGGGCTGAACTTCTGGAGACTAAAAAAAATGGAAATATATCAGTGTGTTGGGTTTTTGTGACATCACAAAAACTGTGTATTCAGAATGGGCTGGAGAGTGAATGCCACATTTTGAAACTTCAATAATGGTTAACACACTATATTAACTATTCTATATATATATATATATATATATATATATATATATATATATAGAATATATTTTATATATATATGTGTGTGTGTGTGTGTGTGTGTGTGTGTGTATCTTTAATTCTAAGATATGGGTCTTTTAAGTATTCTAAAACATAATTTGTTAAGAATTATATATTAGTTATAATAGAACAGCACATTAAAGGGCCCATATCATGGAAAACTGAATTTTCCTTTCTTTTTTGAAAGAAAATCGTTTGATGTTGTATTGTTAAAGTTTTAAAATGTGCTGTTCCCTCTCCTGTCCATACAGCCCATATATGGAAACTAACCTGTTCTGAATTCACTGTTGTGATGTCACACAGAGCATCACATTTACACCCACCTATTCAGCCTATGAAAAGACCTGGAACATGTAAATCAATCAATCAATCAATCAATAAATAAATAAGCAGACAAATAGTAATGAGGCTTAGTTTAGCTCTGCTCATTCACACTGAAGTTATAAAGAGTGTTTTAACCTGGACTGCCTTGAATGAGGCACAATGCAGGGCAGCCAATCAGAGCAGAGCTCATTTGCATATATCAGTCTTAAAGGCATGGTAAGAAAAATACTTTGTTTAATTCTAAGGGATGAAAAGAGTTACGTAGAAATGAATTATGGCTGTTTTTGGTACATAAAACCACCCAAATGATATTAAGGACCTTATAATTAACATAGAATAATGTAGGCTGTGGGCCCTTTAAGCTTTCTGCTATAGGACAGTGTGTTAGGCACTATGCAGCAGTGGTAGATCATATTAAAGAGTATGTTAGGTGCTGGAAACAGTTTCCATTGCTGCTTTCAGCATTGTAATGTACTGCTTTTAGTGTGTTTACTGTAAAGCTTTGAAACCACTCTGCTTTCGCTGGTGTATGAATTCACATCTTCCGCTCACACATGCCGCTCTGGCCATAACGTGGACCCAAATACGTGACTCGCATTTTTATCTTGCACTGGCTCTCAGCTTATCTCAGGCACTCAAAGTCCTGGCAGGATACATGAATAACATTTTCCGCCTTATAATAAGAGCTGGTCTCTTTGTCATGCAGGCCATTACATCTGCATTGAGCTTCAGTCACGTCTCGGCCCCACCGGTTGCAGCTGTGGTGCTGAGTCAGTCTGTGAAATGTATAGCGGTGCGCTCAGTGCCAGAACCCCTGCACTGCACAAGATCCTGTTACCTATACTTGAACAGCAGACTGAGCTAGCGTTAGCAGGGAGAGCAGAGTGCGTACGGAGCATGCATCACTGAGATAAAGCTCACTTGTAGAGCACTCATTATGAACAATGAGCACATAAGATAAGGTTAGATAAGATCGACTTTGTTTATTCACAGTGGAGACTTCAATTCTCCAACGTGCAGACCTGGTAGGAAAAAGTATGTTAAATCTGAAAAAACCTAAAACATATAAGTAAATAAACAAATAGATAAATAAATAAGCAAACATATAGTAATGAGACTTATTAAAGGGCATATGAGATGGAAAAACAAGTTTTCCTAGCTTTGTTTAAAATATGTATATGGGTTTATAGTTTTAAGATGAATGCATATTCATCCCTTATTCCTTATGGTCCATATACCATATATGGAAGCTAAAATGCAAAAACAGCCCATTGTTGTGATGTCACAACAACCCCATTTCCAAAAAAATTGGGTCGCCGTGCAGAATGTAAATTAAAATAGAATGCAATCATAAATTATGTAAACCATATTCTTAAAGGAAAATACTACAAAGACAACACATCAAATGTTGAAATTGAGAAATTTGATTGTTTTTTGAAAAATATATGCCCATTTTAAATTCGATGCCAACAATATGTTCCAAAAAAGTTGGGACGGGGGCCTGTTTACCACTGTGTTTCATCACAACTTCTTTTTAACAACAATCTGTAAGTGTTTGGGAACTGAGGAGACACTGCTGTATTTTTGAAAGTGAAATGTTTTCCCGTTCTTGTTTGATATAGGATTTCAGCTGCTCCACAGTTTGGGGTCTCCTTTGTCATTTTTTTCATTTCATAATGTGCCAAATGTTTTCAGTGGTGACAGGTCTGGACTGCAGGCAGACTCCGGCCCAGAGAAGGTGGCAGCATAACTGGACTCTGTTTATATGTGGTTTCTTCTTTGCATTTAAGACTTTTACCTTGCATTTGTGGAAGCAGCGACGAACTGTGTTCACAGACAGTGGTTTTCAGAACTGTTTCTGAGCCCATGCAGTGATTTCCACTACAGGATCATGTCTGTTTTTAATGCAGTGCCGCCTGAGGGCTCAAAGATCACGGCCAGCAAATACTTTTTGGCCTTGTCCCTTACATACAGAGATTTCTCCAGATTCTCTGAATCTTTTAATGATATTTTGTACCATAGATAACAAAAAGCAAAAGTTGATTGTGCAGACTTTCACAGAATGGTGAACCCCTCCCCATCCTTACTTCTGAAAGACTCTCTGAGATGCTCTTTTATACCCATTCATGTTACTGACCTGTTGTCAATCCACCACCAGGTGTTTTTTTAAGCATTACACAACTTTACCAGCCTTTTTTTGCCCCGTCCCAACTTTTTTGTAATGTGTTGTTGGCATCAAATTCAAAATGGGTATAGATTTTTTTTAAAAACAACATTTGATATTTTGTCTTTGTACTTTTTCCAATAAAATAATAAAATATAGGATTTAAATGATTTGCACATCATTGCATGTAGTTTTTATTTACATTTTGCACAGTGTCCCAACTTTTTTGGGAATGGGGTTGAATAAATGTGTATATATATATATATATATTAACATATCCTCTACAGAGAACATACTTATGTACATTTTAGTGCACAATTACTGTTGAAATATGTTGAAATATGTATGAATTGGGGTAAAAAAAACACAGCCTGTGCAAAAAGTGGCATATATAATTATAACGCAGCAATAATTAATGATATGTAAGACAACCAGAATCTTCAACAACAAAATACATATATATTTTGTTGTTGAAGATTCTGGTTGTCTTACATATAGTTAATTATTGCTGCGTTATAATTTTCTTAGCAGTTATTAAACACATATATTCATTAATTTTAATTTTTTCATGCAAAATAACGGGGAGTGTGGGCCACCAGATATGATTTTTCTTAGAGACCCCAAATGTTTAGACACAGCCCCTACTACTGCCCTTGCAACAACCCATTTAGCCTACAGCAGTTTAGCTCCACTCATCCACACTGACATCATAAAGAGTTTCGGCACGATACAGGACGTCCAATCAGAGTCCAGTCATTTACATATATCAGTCCTAAAGGCGCAGCAATGAAAACAGCCTGTTTTCACCGCAAAGGAATAAAGAGAGGTTGGTCATGTAAAAATGAATCAGGGCTACATAAACCTGCAAAAACAACAAGATAAATCCACAATATGGCCCCTTAAGAATCCCTAACTATCACTGGGCTAATGATTCCACAGTGTAATATCTTTCATGCAGTTTCACAAGATGATGATGTCACTTAGTCCTCTAATACGCAGAAGAGAAAATGTCCTGGTCAGTCTGGTCTCTAAGCAGGAGAGAAGCAGTCCGGATCCTGCAGAGGTCACATGGATGCTCTGTTTTTGATCAAAGTCTTGCCTGTACCGGCTCCTTCTCCATCTAGCAGCAGTTAGCTGTGATTAGGACTGGGGGACATTTCCTGTGGCCTGTAATCAGATAATGAGTGATGTGTGGAGTGTAAGGAAGGAGAAAAACTGCAGCGCTAAACGCACCGTGAGCAGGCGAGGAGTGCGGAGGCGATGCTGGCTCTGGATCTCCTTTAGTCATCTCTGTTGGTGGAATCATTATCATTCCTCAACTTGCCTAACAGCTCATTAATCTAGTAGAGAGTAACTCAGACTGCTAGCAGAGTTAGTTCGCCTCTGACTTCATGGTGACTCTTAGCTTTTCCTGTTTTTTTTACTGTGTTGTTCGTAATGCTGCATGACTTCTACAGAAGCTTGTCATGACTAGTGACTTAAACCTACATAAACGTATTAATATAGGCTTATTTCAATAGGCGTTGTCTGTCATAAACACTGATGTTGCCAACTTTGATGTAAAGTTGATGTAATATCTATGTCATGACATTTTTTCTTCTGATATTAGGTTGTTATGATACTTTTTTGGATGAAATGACAGCACATTATAACAACTGAGTTAGCATAACGCTGATAATGTGATCTTATAAATGGTTGGCAACCGGCCTTCTTTAATAAGGATATGTGAAGTACGTTTTCCTGAGTCTGACATCATTTTAAAGCGATTAAAAACACAAGCACTGCTCACTGCTGCTCATCTCACTCTGACTGCACTCAAGTGATGCTGGTTGTCATGGTAACGTCTACACTAAGTGGTTTTCTACGCATGCGTGTCATTTTGGATCTGATTACTTGTAGAGTGAATGTAAACAGAGATTGTCATCAGATGGTTAAGCACAATGAGCAGATAAACACCTCAGTCTTAATCTATAATGGGAATGTGTCTGGTAAAAATCTGTAAACACAGCCAGTGAGTCTCAATGATGAGTCCATTCCAATATTTGTAATTTAGCAGTAGGCTAATACATAATAATGTACATTAAAGTTAGTTAAATCATCCCAATATAGGCAAACGTTTGGTGGTACAATTTGTGTGTATATAAAGTAAAGGGTTTTGTTTAACGAGGTCTAGGCTGAACAGCTCAGAAGACAGCTAACAGGTTAACAGGCTCCTCCAGTAATATTCAGTTAGCTTTATTACAAGAAGGATTCACTGTGAAATTCCAACATATACAAATAAAGAATACGCTTTAAATGCTTCTAATGTCTGGCCTACATAGTATTAAACCATGTGAAGGAAGTAAACACAGCTATATAATAGAAGTCATAGAATTGGTTATTGGTTGTCATTGGTTGTTTAAGCCCATTTTTATTGTTTGGCCTTAAAAAAACAGATTTGTTAAAATAATAACACATACTTAATCAGGCTTTATCTAGTTATCATGTTTGCTGAATATTTTATAATTTGCTTGTTTTCCTCCACAACAGTTCATCTCCAGATCCTCCTGGCCGTTGGCCTGGCCATCTTCTGCTTCTGCCTCGTGCTGGGCTGCATCATTTGCTGGTGCCGCAGGAAGTCCCACCCTTCTGACGACAAAGAGGCGGGGCTTACCCTTTCCTCCCCCCCTCTAGATCACGTGACTGTAACTCTAAGCCCCTCCCCATCCATTAATGTTCTTCCCATCAAACAGCAATATGAGGAGCTGGAGGGCGACGTGCTGGACTATCCTTCTCAAAACAGCAGTTCCACACCCTCCGAGGATGACCTCAGTACTCTTTCCCGTGTCTCAGTGGATTCGAAAGGTCCTCAGAAGTCCAGATTCCCCCTGCGCCGCCTCAGTTCCCCGGTCGTTCCTTCCTCGCCCTCCAAACTGGCCATCCGCAGCCGGGCCTCCCTCCCCAGCATCCCCAAACTCAGCCTGGTGGCCAAAACCCGCCGCGCCTTGGACCGTCGCTCCACTGTGGCCGGCGACTTCTTATGTTCAGAAAGCAGCAGGTTGACCACCGCTGACCCACAGGGGGTGCCATCTTCACCTCAATATGGCTCCAGCCCACAGGGGGCGCCATCGTCAACTCAGTATGGCTCAGGTTCCAGGCGTAGTTCCATCTCAAGCAAGCAACCACCATCCCTACACTTCACCCTGCTCTTCTCTCCAGCAGAGGGCGCTCTTACAGTCACAGTCCTGGGGCTGTTCAGGGCCTCCAGGAGGGTAAGCGGGGCCACAGTTCGGGCAAGTTTGCCCCCTCTCTGCCCTGCTCCAATGCAGGGGGTGCCAGCACGCAGGCACAGCCTGAGTCCTGAGCCCCAGTCCCAGGTCCTTACCCTTCAGGCCGGTTCTCTGGAGGAGCTCAAGGCCTGCACTCTGAGGCTCGCCGCTTACGGCAAAGATTTCTCGGGTCTTCGGGAGACGCCGCTGGGGGAGCTGGAGCTGGCCTGCGCTGAGATAGACTGGGAGCCGGATACCGCCGTGATGTACAACCTCCAGCTAAACCCCACCAGAAGAAGACTCAAAAAGGTAACAGGGCATTATGGTCTTAGTACTAGTAAATAGGGCTGGGTAATCATCATTCAGTACTTTTGAGGGTATGAACTGAACTACTTCAATTCAATATCATAAAACTGTCATACAATACCAAATTGTAATTTTAAAAAGTAGTTGGTCTTAGCATGTGCCAGCCAATAAACGCTTTGTGCTAAAACCTAGACTGTTGATTGGCTAAATTACATATCGTCGCTGTCCAAAGAAAAACAAGTATCTCCAAAATAGTAAATTTACAGGAGAGGGCAAAAACTTTCTTTATTTTCAGTGTAAGTTAATGGAAAGGGCTGTTATTCTATGCAGTTCTGGAGCATTTCTATTGGTCCAATCATTATGAAATTTTCACACAGTATAAAGGACAGCTGCTGAGATCAAATAATGTAGAGAAGTAAAAATCGCAAAAAATGGAGATACATGTTTTTCATTGGACAGTGACGATATTCTTATCAACACCAGCACTTATATATCTTAATTATGTCCATGTAAGCAATCTGTTGTAGAGATGTGTCAGAATCTCCAAATGTCGTTGAGTTTTATTAGACTAACATTTATTTTTCAAATAATTTCGTACAAAATTGAGTATCAAATTTCACTGAGATGCCCTTTCCTTATGATCTGGAAATATGTCTACTTCCAGCACCTCACAGTCATTTCTGCGCTAATAAATTTGTTTTTAATTTAAAACAAGGTATTAAAAAGGTTCAGGAATCAGGATTGAAGTCAAGATATCGGTATTGATGTAGATATTTGCAGCTAATGCTAACTAATTGCTAACTGCTAATTTGGAACAATACCCAGCCCCTGTAGTAACTTAAATGCACTCTTGGGAAAAATGATTTGTCAGTAAATCACATTGGTGTGACATTAAGCGATAATATGAATAAGTAACTTTCCATTTTCTCCAAATGTGATTGGTCAGCTAAGGCATGCTTGGTGTCTTTAGTTTTGCACTGGAGCTACGAGGCTAATGTAGCTAACAAGTAGTGGGTGCTTGTGCTGTACCGATTAGCATTGTAAAGCATGCTTAAATCAACACACACTTGCCTTAAATCGCATCGAGTTGTTAAGTAATCTAAGATAGACTTGCTCACAGTGTATGAAATACTGTTATCTAGAAAAGTGGACAAACAGTTGACAAAATGCAGACTTCATGATTTGCTACCTTGTTATCTTTTATAGTTATGCTAACATACTTCTTCCATTTTATACATGCCAAGCAGTGGAACCACATAAGCAAGTCTGTTTGAGACTATTTAACTCGTTTCTACGCAAGAATGTGATTATTTTGTCCTGAATTTTGCACAATGATGTCTATAGGGTTAATGTAGCTGACATGTTAAGTAAGCTTATACCCAGCTATGTTAGCTACATTAGCCTGATAGCTCCAGTGCAAAATCTTAGACACCAAACGTGCTTGAGATCAGTTACATTTGCGGGGAAATTTGATTTTTGGCCATTCTTTTGCTTTAAACAGTGACAAATATATTCAGGCATATTATACATCTAATGTGTAAACAGTAAAACCATAAAAACCACATACAGTGTATTAATCTACTGTGTATTCAGTCATTTTTGTACTAGAAATGTATTAGTTCTACACAAAGCTCACATGAGCTACTTCACCTCTAAGGCTAAAAAGTACACCCTGCATCCTGCATCAGCTCTGACTGAGCAGCGCCACGTATCAGAGTAGCCTCAGGCGTGTTTGACCATGTGTCACCAACTCCATCAAGAAGCTTTCCGCCTGTGAGGTCAGCAGCACGCTGGACCGTACCTGCCTTAGCCAGGTGACGCAGGTGGATGGAAAACGCGGCCCTCCGGCCCTGTAATAATCGCTATCGCGCCGGCGCTATCTCTGTGAGAATGTGGCTTTGTAATCAGCACGAGGTCGTGTTTTGTGTGCGCTGTATTTTCCGCTCCGCTGAGAGATGGTGATAGGGCTCGGAGCTGAGTGAGTGGACTGTGGACAAGTGGGGCATTGATCTGGCTTGCCGCCCACGCTTTGTCCTCCACGGAGAAGGGAAATGGTGCCAGAGGGCATCTAGAGAATCTGTCAAACAAGGAGAGGGGGAGAGTGGAAAGGAGACAGAGGCTGTGTTTACATTACAGGGATGAAGTGACCAGTGGCTACATTCACATTAAAACATTATTGCTTAATTGACCTGTCCGTGCTCCGCCCACAAATGCACTTCTTCATAGTTACTATTGCAAAATATGCAAAATTCAGATAAATGTCAATGCAGAACGTGCTGTGAATTTAAAATAAACCTTATTTTGTATGTGTGTGAAAGGTTACACTGTTAGAATAGATTAAGTGTAATGTGTAGTTAAGATTTTGTAACGTCTGAAATGCTAAGTAGAAGATTCAGAAAGAGTTGTTTTAGCATTGCCACCTGGCTAAGGCTCTGTTTGTCCCACTTGAATAATCAGTAGCTTGATTTTATGGATTTTACTTGAAGAAACACATTTTTGTGCTGTTTTTTTTGCCATATTAGCCACGTTTACATGCATCCTAATAATCCGTTAATAATCCGACTAATAGCTCAATCGGAATAGAATACGTCCATGTATACACCTGAATCGGAATAGACTAGTGCGATTGAGGCCATTCGGAATACAATTTCTGTCTGATTGATCGAGGTGGGTAATCCTGTAAATAATCTGTTAAATAGAAGAATAATATCCGTGTAAACGCCTGTATCTGATTACATTCCCTATCGGAAAGTTTAAGTCCGTTCTGATCATGTTCGTCACATCATAGTGAGAGTTTATACCGTTCAACATGGCAGAGCAGAAACTGGTCTGCAGAGGAGACGAAGTTTATGTGTCTCAGAACACGACGTCTTCCTCTCGGCCTTCTTTAATAAGGACATGTGAAGGACGTTTTCCTGAGTCTGACATCATTTTAAAGCAATTAAAAACACAAGCACTGCTCACTGCTGCTCATCTCACTCTGACTGGACTCACGTGATGTTCGCTGTCATGGTAACGTTTACTCTAAGTGGTACTCCATGCATGCGCGTCATTTTGGATCGGATTACTTGTCATAGGGTTAAGCCGTCCTGAACACAGCGGTAGAGGCTATGACATCAGTGTGGCATTACTTTGGGTGTTCACTCAATTTTTTTCTTTCCTGTTTGATTAAAGCTCATTCCCACCCTCTAGCTAGATGTCCACCAATCACATGATGCTATCAAGCTGGGAGAAACACATGCTTCCTCTGAGACATGTTAGGCCAGCCAACAGCTACTAACACAACGTCACTGAACAGCTCAACACACTTGGAGGAGAACATTAACTGCTAATTTTGTTGCATCAGCTAACAGACGGCCACACTGGTTAGCATCACCCAAAGAGAGTGAGGCCTATATCTTGTACTCACTGATGGCTGTGGCCAATGCTAAGAAGGTTGTGCCACTAGGTAGGTACTATTGAGGTTTTTAGACAGCTGTTGAATTAGCTAAGTAAAAGATTCAGAAAGAACAGTTTGAACATTGCTAGCTGGTTAAAGCTGTTGTCTTGCTCTGTCGCTGTCATTGTGTCATTGTGACTTTATGGATTTTGGCTGAGGAAATGCTATTTTTTAGCCATTTTTAGGGTCTCATTGTCAGAATCGGTCCAGTGCACTGAAACTTCTGTTGCCTAAAAGTTCCCACAATGCACTGTAAAAACCAGTCAGCATCGACTGTTCGCTCTGCTGCCTGACTGAAATAGCATTATGCCTGTAGTTCAACTTTTGGAAGGTTGAAAAAATTAAAAACTTAAAATGGAGGACAAAAGCAGGAAAAAATGTCTTAAGTCTGTATTTTATACACTTTATCATTTTTTCTATTAACTGAAATGTTTATAGCATCCTGTTAGCTACTTAGCTAGCCAGTTGCATGTGTTCCTGATTTAACTTTACTTATACACTTAGCCACTGACCATCCATACTACCTAAAAAATAATAGCACATGCTATATTTAGCTCAATAACACAATAGAATATGCTATATTTTAATAGTATCACTTTATTTATTCATTTTATGAACAAAGCATGACACTAAAGTAGCCTGACCTGCTAACAGGCTACAGCTAACAAGCTAACTAGGCCCATTTTGAAAATATTCAGTTACAAACTTTAAGTTTAAATCCTTACTTAAAGGATCAGATGAGCTCAGCTACAGCTACACAGTTACCCCGCTGACTCTTTGTCACTGCTGGTCCACCCTCTGACCACCCAGATTACTGTCCAGACTTTTATTTTGGAAAATAAAGTTAGAAAAACATTACAAACAACTCAGAGAAAAAAAAAATAATAGGCCTGATATGAAAATTTATTTTATAGAAAATGTTGTCGCTGACGCTGATTTAGATTAAAATTATTTACCAAACTAATTTATAAAGTATAACTGAAGAAAGGAAGGAAGGAAAAATAAGTAAACTGGACTGTAAATGGAAAATGAGAGATGATCAGTGGAATTTTGTCTATGACTCTGTGTAACCACTGGTGGGCCACCCGGAAAACGCTGTGCAAAATGCCAATGGACCACCAACTTTGCCATCAGTGGGCCAACAGTGGTCCACTATCCTCTTGCTATCAGGGTAGCTTGGCAGAATTAGCATTTATGCTAGCATGTTAAACGCCTGAAGAAAGGCCTAACTTTATTAAACATTGCCGTGTGTGACTGATACACAGCTTTATCTGGGTAAACAAAATTAGTGTTTTAATGACAGTATGGCTGAGCACAGCACAGTGGAAGCGCTTCCCAGTCAATATTGTTGGTACTGTTTTAGCATCCGTTCCACATGTAACTAAGTCATCAGTGTCCCAGTGTTCCTCCTGGGACTTAGCCAGTGTCCAGATTCAAATTTACTATGCACTGATTCACTACATACGGAACTAGTGACTAACTGATGTCTGTGGTCAGCGCTTAGATGGTTACCACTAGGGAGGCATGATTTGAGGTTTTTAAACATTGGATTGGTTAGCTAAGCTAATTGATTAGCTATGGAAAATTCGGAAAGAATTGTAACATTGCTAGCTTGCTAAAGCTGTCATAGTTGGTTAAGGCAACATATTTGTGCGCTGTTTTTGCTGTAGTGTCTGTATAAATGGCTATGATGCTAAAAACTGACCTGTATGCTACAGTTTCTCTGGTTAAATTAGGCATGCCAAACTTGGGACCCTCATCTAACGCTCTGAATTCAGTCCGTGAAGGCCTTGCTAATTAGCTGTTGAGCTGAATCAGGTGTGTTTAATGAGACACTGTGCTGAAGTCTGTAACAGTTTGGCCTGCGAGGACTGGAGCCTGACACATGTAGGTAAAATGAGGTTCTGTAAAGCTTCTTAGCAAGGATATTTTGTTTTTTTCTTCTTTTTTTCGCTCAAAGCTGGTCTTTCTGCTTTGGTGGTCCACAAGTGTGATTTGATGGTGGTTTTGATCTCACAACTGTGCCCATGAGGGTCTTTCCAGGGCAGAGGTGTGCTCACACTAATCAGAAAGGTCTCATCTGAGCGACTGAGCAATAAGGCTTGCAACATGAACATGGCCAGAAAGGGAAAGAAATGGAGTAAAAGGGGTGAGAGAGGGTGAAGTGGAGGGGCCGGGGGGTTGTGGGGGGGGGCTGTGAACTGAAAAAGTGAGAACAAGATGAATGAGGCCGGCGCTACACAGACAGCATGTCTCCTGAAGGAAGGCGCTGTGTGTGATGTAGCGGGGGCTGTTAGCGTGATCTTCCCCTGCCTGTGTCACAGCAGTGCGCCTGAAGCCCCTGTGGCCCGAGCCCACTGTCGCTACAGCTAAACCTTTCCCCTTAACAGTGTCACCGAAGTGACATTAAAGGGCCCGTATCATGGAGAACCAAGGGGTTTTTTTTAAATTAGAGTTTGATGTAGTATGGAAACATTGTTAAAGTTTCAAAATATCCCATTCACTGTCCAGTTCACACTGTCCATACTACAGCCTGGCCTGAATTCAGCGAGAACACCATGTTTGTGATGTCACATCCATGAACACATTTCCATGACCTCTCATTCACATCAAAGTGATAATGAAAATCTGGATTGCTTTTTGAGCAAGGCACAATACTGGCAGCCAGTCATAGTAGAGGTAATTTACATATGCAGTTGTGTGCAAAAGTTTGCACGCCCCTGATGAATGACAGTTGGTGAATTTTCCAAGTGAACACACTTGTGCAAATTTTAATGCAGAATTGCTGTGCATTTGCTGTTTTTGTTTTGGGACAAAAGTAAAAACAGTGTGTGGCCTGTGCAAAATTTATGGCACACCTTATTTGTCTTATTTTTTGCTAATATGCTAAATATGGTAAAATTGTGTGCTAAAATTTGCATATATTTGCCATATTCCAGCCTCTCCTTATGCCTTAGAATTCAACAGACTTTTTTGTCGCTGAAACTTTAAGACTGACATATGTAAATGAGCACTGTTCTGATTGGATGCTCTATATTGTGCCTTATTCAATAAGCAGTCCGGCCTGAAACATTTCTTGTATCTTCAACATTAATGGATGAGGCTAAATAAGTGGATAATATATGTAAATTACTTTTGTGACATCACACTGAATTTAAAAACAAGCTGTTTTCTGGAATATTTCAATGTGGTAAACAATAGTTTCAGTGTGGTAAACAATGTTTACATACTAAACTAAACTATTTTATTTCAAGGTTTTCCATGATATGGGCCCTTTAATTCTAAGGATAAAGAGAGGTTGGAAAATGTTCATGAAAATATGAATTATGACTGTTTTTGGTACATAAAGCTTTATAATATATTATATGGAAGAACAACAAAATACAGAAAGTTCTTTTATTGAGATTTAAACAGAAACTGATGGTTGACTTATGTTATATAAGTTGAGGAGAGACGTTCTGGACAGTTTACAGAAGCAGTTATAATGTCCATACTTAACAAGAGAAAAAATATTTTATACAATATTTCATGCCAAAAATGGCTGGTGTTAAATAAACACCTACGACAATTGTTTTACTCAAGTTTACTCCCACTCCACACAGTTAAAGCGCGGATCTAATGAACACTGTAGGAGGGAATTAATTCATTATTAATTTACAGCGCAGGGAAATCAAAGCAGAGACGTTCTGATGGACATTGTCCAGTTTTGCCACATTGTTTCACTGTGATCCAGAGCTATCTGGAAAGAGGTGAAAGCATCAATGTATTAAAGTGCTTATTAAAGTATTAAAGGCGCACATGGCTGATATAGTGAGCGCTGAGTGATGTAATCTTCAGTGGGCATGTGTGTGCAGAGTGTGGCTTGTGATTATATGTTGGTGTTAGATAAGCCAAGACCGCCTAGTGAGTTATAATGGCCAGACTTAGAGAGGCATGAAATCAGTGTCCAACAGGCTACCCACTGACCATCCCACATCTAAACACAAAGCAAAAAAGCATGTTTCTAACTGGGATGTTAAAGTTTGTGTCAAATAATTAGACAGCAGAACATCACAGGCTATGAAAGCTGTATAGTCTGACCTGCTGATGACCCTGTTCTTAACAGATGTGACCACATTACACTTTTTTGCATAATTTGGAAACTCCAGCTACTCTTTACATTGTGTTACATTTCCTAAGGAACTGACATACAGAAATGGTCCAAAATGACTTGTGTAATTTGTTACATCTCAACCACTGAATTATACAGAAATTTTGAAAAATCGGTGGAATCCCCCTTTAACTTCTTTTCTGACCATCACAATCTGAGCACTTCTTTCATTGTTTCATGACGTTTTCATATTTGTTTCCAGAGTCAGAGCACTCAGGAGTCTTTGGGCAACCTGAGGTCGTCAGCGTGTCCTCCGAGGCCACTGGGTCAGCTCTTTATCCTGCTGCAGTACCAGACTCAGGCCCACCGCATCAAAGTGATGGTGCGCAAAGCTGAGAACTTGGCGAAGATGACGAGAATGCCTGGAGCTGCAGGTACGTCCACAGCTGTTTTAGCCAGGAACCAAGCCATGGGCCTATAACACACTCCTATAACCTAAGAAAAGCTCCATTAGTTTGCATTGAATTCCCTGTAGTTAATGAATAATAAGCCTTAGTGTGTAATAAGCCTGGAATGTTAAGGGGTTAATAACTAAATCTCTGGATTGGCCCACCTTTACTACTCTATATCAGGATCTCTCATTGCTCACCTCTCATAACATGCTGCCCCCTACTGGGCACCCTTAAATGACCTAAACCAGCCTTTACTGGAGGAGTGGTCATTTTTTTGCTGGTCTGTTAGCAAGAAATACTCACTAAGTGACCACGCAGAATACTACAGAGGAGTGTGTTGTCCCTACAGATCATTATGTCGTCATCAACCTGCGGCAGGGAGGGAGAGTGATCAGCACTAAGGAGACGAAGGGAGCGAGTGGCTCTAATGCGGTTTGGAACGCACCCTTTTTGTTCGATTTACCTCCTGGTGACATCATCAGACTTCCACTGGTCTTCGAATTTGTCGTCATGCAGGTAGAGAGGAGACATCTAACTCTGCCACACTCTTATAAATCCATTTGTTTATGTGATTGATTTACATGCCTTTCGTGAGATTTTAATCTGCTTATTAAATTGGGTCATTATGCTTAATAAGCATGGTCATAACTATTTACAGCAGCGGAATAAAACATTACTATACACCATGTTTCTATACTCATTGTCCATTTTATCAGCTCCACTGACCATAAAGGAGCACTTTCTATAATTACAGACTGTAGTCCATCTGTTAGCCCCCTTTCACCCTGTTCTTCAGTGGTCAGGACCCCCACAGAGCAGGTATTATTTGGGTGGTGAAGGACTAGAGGATGACCAACACAAACTGTGCAGCAACAGATGAGCTATCATCTCTGACTTTACATCTACAAGGTGGACTGACAAGGTAGGAGTGTCTAATAGAGTGGACAGTGAGTGGACACAGTGCTTAAAACCTCCAGCAGCACTGCTGTGTCTGATCCACTCGCACCAGTGCAACACACACTAACACACCACCACCACGTCAGTGTTACTGCAGTGCTGAGAATGACCACCACCCTGCTCTGTGGGGGTCCTGACCACTGAAGAACAGGGTAACAAAGTATGCAGAGAAACAGATGGACTTCAGTCTGTAGAACCACAAACTGCTCCTATACGGTCAGTGAAGCTGATAAAATGGACAATTTTCCAATCTTGTAATGATCTAGAATGAAAGCAATGAAAGTTGCAGAGCTCATTTAGATCACTGCTTTATCTCCACAGGGACGGCTGTACACAAAAAGCAGCGCTCTGGGCCGCGTTCTGATTGGTTGCGAGGGTCCGGAGGCGGGGCGGCAGCACTGGAAAGAGATGTGTGATCGAGGGCAGGTGGAGACGGCACGCTGGCACACACTCCAGCCAGATACACTGTAGGACTTAATGATGGACTTAATAGATGTCCCTAAACAATGGGCTTGCAGACGTATTATCCTCTGCCATGGCCTCTCACTGGGGCTTTGAGTAGTGGACGGGACAGTTGAGCGAGTTGGATTAACTGTCCAATAGTCTGGCCTTCATGTGAGTGTCTGTATATGAACTGTAACTACTGTATTTATTAATGTGAATAGTTCCAGATATTTTTCCAGATTCCCTCAATGGAGTGCCAAACTAGCATTATGTACTGAAACTGTGTTAGCTTTGATTATGACTGTGTTAGATATCAGAAGACTTTGATGAATATGACACCTGTTGGTATGTTGTATGGTATGTCTTTGTGTTGTTTTCTTGGCCTGTTAGATAAGTACTGTCTTGTTCTTGGTTTCCCGTGTTGAGTCGCTCTTAAGTAGCTTTTGCTAACCATTATATCTGATCAGAAACAAGGTTGAAAGTGATGGTTTGGCCAGAAATTTAGAAAATTGACACCATTTTTGCTGCTTGCCACTAACGCAGCCAGTCAGCCAAGACATGTTGGGCGTTTTTGATTTTGCGTTGGCGCTACAAGACTAATGTTGCTGACTTGAAGCTCTTAGCCATCATTTTTAGCACGTTAACTGCATGCCTAAGTCATCACTTGCCTGAAACTGTGTTGGGTTGTTAAGTAATGTCATATAGACTTGATTATGTGTTTTCTGACACTGTGTGACGTTCTGTTGTCAATAAAAATGGACAAAGGTATGGACAGAATTAAAGCTGGAACAATAAACAGGTTAAAAAAATTTGGGAGAAAATTGTCGATAAATATCTATATTTCCACACAGGACAGCTTGATGTACTCTATATGGCCAAAAGTATGTGGACACCTGACATATCACACCCATATAAGCTTGCTGGACGTCCCATTTCAAAAGCATATGCATTAATGTGGAGTTTGGCCCCTTTGCAGCTTTAACAGCCTCCACTCTTCTGGGAAGCTTTCCACAAGATTTTGGGGTGTGTCTGTGGGAATTTGTGCCCATTCAGTCAAAAGAGTAGTTGTGAGGTCAGACACTGATGACGGACAAGACGGCCTGGCTCGCAATCAATGTTCCAGCTCATCCAGCTCATGAGGTCAGGGCTCTGTGCAGGCCACTGGAGTTCCTCCACACCAAACTCATAAAACTATGTCTTTGTGGACCTCGCTTTGTACACAGGGGCTCAGTCATGCTGAAACAGGAAGGGGTCTTCCCTGAACTATTGCTATCTAGAGTGTCTTTGTGTGCTGTAGTATTAACACTACCCTTCACAGGAACTAAGAGTCTAAACCCTGAAAAAACAGCCCCAGCCCATTATCCCTCCTCCACCAAACTTTACTGCTGGCACTAGCATGACAGTAGGTAGCGTTCTCCTGGTATCCACCAAAACCCTCATTCATCCAGACAGTGCCAGATAGTAAAGTGTGGTTCATCACTCCAGAGAACGATTCCCCTTCTCCAGAGTCCAGTGGTGATATAGTGATCTTAGGCTTGTGTGCAGCTGCAAGGAAATCCAATTCATGAAGCTCCCAACACACAGTTCTTGTGCTGATGTTGCTTCCAGAGGCAGTTTGGAACTCTGTAATCGAATGAAGCAACAGAGGATTGGCAATTTTTACGTGACATGCGTTTCAGCACTGTTTTAGCGTCTACAATAATAGCACTTACAGTTGACGGGGCAGATCTAGCAGGGCAGACGTGGCATCCTATGACAGTGCCATGTTTAAAGTCCCTGACCAGTGTTTGTCTATGGAGACTGCAAGGCTATGTGCTTGATTTTATACACCTGTTTGCAATAAGTGTGGCTGAAACACCTGAATCCAATAATTAGGAGAAGTCTCCACATACCTTTGGCCCTGTAGTGTATTTGTGCGACTTTTCTCAGATTTTTATGTGGTTCGGGTCTCATTCAAATTTCACATTGAGGTTCTCATAGCTGGCCTTTCACTTTCAACCGATCTTACTAAATCCCACTTTTTTCTCTTTATTTACTTTGTTCTTCTACTTTCATTACCTCGTCTTTTTTTATGTGGCACGCGGGAGTCACCCACTCAGCGCTGAGGCCCACAAGGCTGTGCTCATAAGAAAACGTGACATAAACCGTTATCGATCATTATTGATAAATGGTCCATGCCATGGACAAAATTCAAGCTTTAAAGGGCCCATATCCTGGAAAACTGAATTTCACTCACTTTTTTTGAAATGACTGTTTCGAACTCACTGTAACAAAAAACCAAATAATTTACATATCTGGCTATTCAGTCTACAACAATTTAGGCCCTTCTATTCATGTTGATGTTATAAGGAGTGTTTCAGTGTGGACTACTTTTTGAATAAGGCACAATACAGGGCAGCCAATCAGAACAGAGCTCATTTACATATCGGTTCAGTGACAAAAAATCTATAGGTTAAGGAGAAGGTCATGTAAAAATGAGTTTTTTTGCTACATAAAACTGCACAAAACTTTATAAATGGACCTAAAGGGAGTAATAAAATGCAGGGTGTGGGCCCTTTAAGATAGCTACTACTATTTTTGGCTGTTGTACATGTATCCATTTTGTCATACATTGTGTCGTACATAGGTAATATTGTAAATTTGATTTTTGGCTGTACCAGCACTTTAAAATATGACAATTGAGTGTGTGCATTTCTCAGACTGATGACCCTGACCATCTGTATCCACACTACATGCACGAGACTGGAAGTAAACTTCAATTTTCTGTGGTGTTGGTCAAATTGTGTGTCTGTCCAGAAAACCTCATCTGCAGGAGTGTAACACTATAGTTTATCCCATTATATCGGTTCAATACGACCCTCTCAATTCACTCCACACAGGTATCAAACAATACGTTCAGATGTGAGCGAATCAATTATTAAGCTTGGTAAAGATTATACTGAGTAAATTCTAAGAGAAATTAATTAAGCAAGGCCACAATTAGGACAGACCTCCTCCTTTGAAAATTCCACTTCTTTTTTTACCTTAAAATTGAGGGCTATTAGCTTATGGCTAACACATTAGTTCATGGCCAGCACAAAATATTGCACTTGTATAATGTTGAATACTTAAATAAACTGAAAATGGGAACATTTTAAAGGGAAAACCCATTTTTTCAAAAATGTCTGCATAATACAACCATTGAGAAGTCAACATAGTCATTCAGAGTGGTTTGGTGTGAAATGGTTCACTGAAGAGAAACTTGCCAACTCGGATTTCTTTACAGTGATGATGATAGGAACGCAATGCATAGTGCCAACAGTAAAGTTTGGCGGAGGAGGGATAATGGGCTGGGGCTGTTTTTTCCTGTTTTGCCCTGTTTGTTCCTTTACTTCCAGTGAAGGGTGATGTTAATGCTACAGCACACAAAGACATTTTAGACAATTATATGCATCAACTTTGTGGCAACAGTTTGGGGAAGAGCCTTTCCTGTTCCAGCATGACTGAGCCCCTGTGCACAAAGCGAGCTCCATAAAGACATAGTTTAACAAGTTTAGTGTGGAGGAACTCCAGTGGCCTGCACAGAGCCCTGACCTCAACCCCACTGAACACCTTTGGGATGAACTGGAAAGTTGTTTGTGAGTCAGGCCTTCTCTTCCAACATCAGTGTCTGAGCTCATAAATGCTTTGACTAAATGAGCACAAATGCACAGAAACCTTATTTTCAAAACATACGCTATGGATCACATTTACTAATGAATGTTCTGTCACAAACTCCAGATTTCTTTACAGTGGTGGTGATGGGAACCATGGGTTGCCATGTCTACAATACGAATATAGCTGTTTCGTTTACTATCAAAAAGAACCTACACATGTCTTCTGAGTGTTAATATTTAATGTTGATGGTAAAATATTGTTAAATTTAGAAAAAAGTGGGGACTATTTTGCCTTACGACACATTTCGTGTACCCCTCCGCCATGAATTGATTTTAGGAATAATGTTTTAGGCCAAATCCTCCTCTCAAAATGACCACAGAATAGTGTCTCAGGCATCAGGCAAAGCGTTCCAAACAATTTCATGTTTTTGTGAGGGAGCTTTTACGGGCATTGAACTCTTCAGACGTCTGGTTCCTATCACCACCACTGTGAACAATTCTGTTATGGTACTTTTCTCTAGAATGGAGCATTTCATACCAAACCACTCTGAATGACTTTATGTACATCTTAACCACTGAATTATACTGAAAGTTTGACTAATCTGTGGAATTTCCCTTTAACACAAGATATTTCAGGCCCTGCTGTATTTAAAAAAATCCACCCCTAATTCACTGGTATCTACACCAATCAGGCATAACATTATGACCACCTCCTTGTTTTTACACTCATTGTCCATTTTATCAGCTCCACTTACTATATAGGTGCACTTTGTAGTTCTACAGTTACAGACTGTAGTCCATCTGTTTCTCTGATACTTTGTTAGCCCCCTTTTACCCTGTTCTTCCGTGGTCAGGACCCCCATGGACCCTAACAGAGCAGGTACTATTTGAGTGGTGGATCATTCTCAGCACTGCAGTAACACTGACGTGGTGGTGGTGTGTTACTGTGTGTTGCGCTGGTCTGAGTGGATCAGACACAGCAGTGCTGTTGGAGTGTCACTGCTGGACTGAGAACTAAAAATATCCAGCCAACAGCATCCTGTGACCACTGATGAAGGACTAGAGGATGATTAGCTCATACTGTACAGCAAGAGATGAGCGATCATCTCTTCACATCTACAAGGTGGACTGACAAGGTAGGAGTGTCTAATAGAGTGGACAGTGAGTGGACACAGTGTTTAAAAACTCCAGCAGCACTGCTGTGTCTGATCCACTCAGACCAGCGCAACACACACTAACACACCACCACCACGTCAGTGTTACTGCAGTGCTGAGAATGATCCACCACCCAAATAGTACCTGCTCTGTGAGGGTCCATGGGGGTCCTGACCACTGAAGAACAGGGTAAAAGGGGGCTAACAAAGTATCAGAGAAACAGATGGACTACAGTCTGTAACTGTAGAACTACAAAGTGCACCTATATAGTAAGTGGAGCTGATAAAATGGACAATGAGTGTAGAAAACAAGGAGGCGGTCATAATGTTATGTCTGATTGGTGTATAAGTCTCACAATATGTAAACGCACAGATCATCCACTGTCCTAGCCATATTTTCTGATATTTCCTCCTGCAGTAATAAGCAAATTTTTGGATGCACTATAATCAGATTAGCAGAGTGTTTGTGATATTGATGAAGACGCAGTCATCCTCCATAATGGATTGCTATGCGGATGTAAGAGATTCCCCTCAGGCCACAGAATTACTAGAACATCCTGATTTTATGCATGAGGATGCTCTTCTGTCATTTCTAATCAGCCACCACAAGCTTAGTCTAGCAACACAACCGTCTCCTCCAGACTCCCTTTTTTATTCTAAGGCCGAACGGAGCAAAACAAGGTTATTCATAAACCTCAAGGACGAAGTCAGCTGGAAGAGGAAATCAAGTGTAATGAGTTTGTAATTCAATTCAATTCGTCTCACAGCTTAACGGACCTATTAAGATTAAAGATGGCAAGTTGGACACGGCGGTGACTCATCGCGTGCTCGGGTTCGACCCAGCTGCGTTGCTTTTACTGAATGAAACTTCAATTGCTAAACAGAAATGACTTCTGGTACAGAAGGGTGGACTCACTGACCCCTCTGATAGCACAAATATACAATTATCAAGGCTGCAGAGAGACCCCAGAGCACTGACCCCTAGAATAAATCCTATACATGATATACAGAACCCCCCATGAACACATGCACCGTACGCAAAATACTGAAATGTGCATTCATTACACAAAAGTATGTGGACACCCTTCTAATTATTGAGTTCAGGTGTTTCAGTCATACTCATTGCTAACAGGTGTATAAAATCAAGCACATAGCCTTGCAGTCTCTATCAACACTGGCACAAGAATTAGTCATACTGAAGAGCTCTGTGACTTTAAATGTGGCAGTGGAGTCGGAATCAACCAGTCACTTTGTGGAATTTCTGACCTGCTAGAACTGCCCTAGTCAACTGTGAGTGCTATTTTGGTGAAACAGATGCAGGTGGGAGCAACAACAGCTCAGCTACGAAGCGGTAAACCACAAACTCCACCGAGTGCTGAAATGCTTAAAAATCGCCTATCCTCGGTTGCATCACTCAATACAGAGTTCCAAACTGCCTGTGGAAGCAACATCAACAGAAGAACTGTGCGTTTGGAGCACTGTAAAATGGGTTTCTATGGCTGAGATCACTATATGTAATGCCAAGCGTCCACTGGAGTGGTGCAAAGCACACTGCCACTGGACTCTGGAGTTCTTTGGAGTGATGCCAGGAGAACACTACCTACCAGCATGCATAGTGTCAACAGTAAAGTTTGGTGGAGGAGGGATGATGGGCTGGGGCTGTTTTTCAGTGTTTGGACCCCTTAGTTCCACTAAAGTCTAATGTTAATGCTACAACC